AGTCTAATAACTCGCCAGTGTCCATCATGATCAGAGTAAAGAGAGTAACACATGTGAAAGCACACGGTGCTTCACTGTCCCCTACTAGGCACATCTCTTACAATAATGAAAGCGTAATACCGGCACAGCCAGCCATCCTCGTACCCAAGGTCACACAATTACAATGCAGTGGACAGGACACATTAAGTGTGGGAAAGATTAACGTTATCCATCTTTCTTTGTTGCCCAGCAACATCACCATTGCACCCGATTGTAAATGATGCATGCGTGCTTGTGGCATGTCACATGATCGATTCGCGACCAATAAAACTTAACAATCTATGACCGTCGTATATCAAGTCCTGTTGAGATGGATGCATAATAATGATGGGGCAGAACAAATTCTCTGTTACCGTGCAGGTCAGGGGCCAATTTCATAGAGCTGCTTATGCACAAAATTTGCTTAAGCATGAAAAATACCTTACTTGACAAATCAGGTTACCAGCCAAAACTCAATGTGATGTATATTGTTTTTGAATGGTATTCACCAGTCTTTTGGTTAGCATGACAATCACATAGATTTTGAGCTGGTAACCCTTGTTTTATAAGCAAGGGATTTTTGCACTTAAGCAGCTCTATGAAATTGGCCCCTGGTCCTTTGCTGGAATGCTAAACCACAGGTTTTGTGTACTGTATCAATCCAAGCCTACAAACCCATCCAGTCTCACAGAGTGGGTGGTTTACACCAGATTTTTTTGTCTGCATGATGCAGTTTGTGCCAAGATTTGCTTAACCTAATATTTATGACAATTAGCTTTTGTACATTATATTTCAACAGATTTTGGTCACACTTCATATGAATCTTCGAGGAGCAAAATGGAAGCCAAACTTGAAGAGTTAAGAGTAAAGTTAAAGAAAATTAAACCTGAGCAAAAAAGAGGAATCGTATTTTCAAATATGAAATTTTCAGAAAAGGTTTTAACGAGGATTACCTCTGACGTCAGGTTGGGGATTTTCTCCAGCACGGTGGAGGCTTGCATGAAGAATTTGTAGGCGGTGAAGTACATGTCCAGCGGGGTACGGCTGGCGTCCATCTTACGAACGTCCGTCATCTCACAGAAGGTCTCGTACTGCACCAGGGGCGGGGTCAGGACCGCACTGAAGGCGGCAAAGCGGTGCTCAAACCGCACCTTCTCGTTGTCAAACATACAGTTGGGTCGGCGGAGTTTGTTGTCCATGGTGAAACCCACAACAGCCTGGGCGAAAAGTCGCAAGACATCATCGAATTCAACTTTTTGAAAAATTCACGGAGTTTGGTTCTTGTGTAATAGAGCATGATATAGTCCTTTTCAAAATTGAAAACACCAATCAGGTAAGATTAGTTTAAACGTCAGTTGCCACGTGAACAACCCTTAAGAGGTGATCTAGAGAGAATTCCACCTTCAAAAGGTCTTGCCAAGGGGAAACAATTTCTGAGGAGTTTCACACCTAATCACTGCCTCTACAACTCGGAGACTCACCGGTGTGTGATTATTTATTAAAATATTTCACTTTAGGCACTACATTGTGGGTTCACACATGCTTGAAAATCACAACATGGAATAAAGTGTCCAAAAGGCACTAAAAAAGTAAAATCTTAGATACTGTATCAGTGTTGTATTCGAGTCCATCACAAGTCCTTTCACAAGTCCCTTCGCAAGGCCAGTCACAAGTCCCCTCACAAAGCCAGTCACAAGTCCCTTCGCAAGGCCAATCACAAGTACATTCACAAGGCCAGTCACAAGTCCACAAGGCCAGCCACAAGTCCCCTCGCAAGGCCAATCACAAGTCCCTTTAAAAGGCCAGTCACCCCTTCACAAGGCCAGTCACAAGTCCCCTCGCAAAGCCAGTCACAAGTCCCTTCGCAAGGCCAATCACAAGTCCCTTCACAAGGCCAGTCATAAGTAACAGAGTAAACAATGACAAAAGAATGCTTTTGTCACAGCTCATTTGAATAGCCTGTGAACTGGCTTAACCACTTGCTGCCAGGGAGCCCAGTTTCGGAGACGTTGGCTTTATGTGCATAGCCAGGGTGCCCGAAATTGGACAAAGGAAACTGGGCCTTGTAACAAAAGACCGTACTCGGAACAAAATACCGAGCTGATGGGAATTGCAAACATTTTTCAGCTGTCAATAGCGGAGGAAATCCGTCATTTTTTAAACTGATTATATCAATGTTTGTGGCATTAAGCGTGAGCAGATTACCACCGGGACAAAAGCACTCCAGCGCTCCAGGGATGAGCAATACAATACCGCTGTACGCTAATCTAGTCCATATTTGAAAAGACGCCAGCAGCACACTGGGTCAGTTTCGAGAACAAAGAAAATGCATAACTCCAATCTGAGCTCTTTTTACAAGACGGCAGGCCTGGCTGAAATACTGTGTCCATAGATTGTCTGTTCGATTAGAGTAGCCACTGGACAGTCATTCATGTGAGTGTAAATGGCCACTAAATGAAATTATGAATTTTTGAAGATTTTGAAAATGGAAAATTTTCAAAATCCCCCGGATATACGTGGATATATGTAATGCAACTTCAAATTAAACCCAGCAGCATATGGTTAAAGACTGAATGACTTGTGATGGACTTACAGGAACTTGTAGGGACTCGGATACAAAACTGTACTGTATGTCTTTATTGTTATTGTTATTATTACTATCAATTATTTCTGGTAATGACAGCAAAGATTCCTCAAGAAGTGCTGTAGGCACTGTATAGTAGCTGGCAAGCCTGAAGAACCCTACAGAGAGGGGACAAATGAGAAGCAGGAAAATCCCTAGAGGAATATTCTGGGAAAAACCCACAGAATCAGGTTGGGACTGAAAACAGGGTTCCTGCACCTATTAAAGGACAATCAAATTCTATGACTTTTCCGTGACAAAATTATGAAAATCCACGACCAAACAATGGAATTTCTTGGGCTATTTGGCCTTTTAGGTTGCAAATACAATCCCAGATTTTATGCGCTTATTTCTGATAATAGAAATCACACAGTGTTTTATGACTTCCATGACAAAATTCCACGACTTTCCAGGCCTGAAAAAGGAAAAACAAATTTCCATGACTTTTCATGACTTTTCCAGGGCTCAGGAACCCTGTGAAAACCCAATCCATTTGTGTAATGAGGTGGGAATCAAACCCGGATTGCAGAGGTGGCAGGCGAGGAAACAATAATCACGCCAACCTGACTTCACGCCACCCTGTCCTCATGCATGAGGTCAGGTCCTCGGTCCACGTAATATCTTGAGTACCTTGTAATACGCGGAGCACAGCAGCTGGTAGGCTTGTGCGATAGTTAGCTCCCGCTCAAACGGCCGCACCTTGCGGCGTTTGTTCTTCTTCTTGTTGCTCCGGCCTTTCGCGGCCGGTTCGGCGAACGCCGCCTCGTTGTCCTGGAGCATGCTGTCTGCTCTGGTGACGGTGGAGATGAACCAAGCGTACAGGAAGTCGGCAAGATACCTGGGAAAGGAAGGGGGCAGGTTCCATAAATACTGCCTGCATATATTGATCCCTCAATTTGATACACATACAGCAAGTACCTTTGACAACAGACATGAAGGGGCAACGGAGCATAATCTCAAGATAAAGTCTTTTGGGTACTTGGAAGAGTAGACTCAAACCCTTTGCTCACACCTGGCTAACATGTCAATAACAAATCACACTCAAGTTACAAGGCTATCATATTAACCACTTCACGCCGGGGTACCCAGTATTGGGTACCTTATGTTTGTACACGTAGCCAGGGAGCCCAAAATCGGACAAAGGAGCCAGGTCTTCTAACAAAAGACCGAGCTGCTTGGACTTGAAGAATATTTTTTCAGTTGTCAATAGCGGAGGATATCCGTCCTGTTTTTGGAAACACTATACCACTATTTGTGGCATTCAATACTAAGGACTGCTACCGCGGATGAAAGCTCTCCAGCGCTGCAGTGCTGAGCAACACAATACCGCTGCACGCTAATCTGGCCCCACTGAAACAGACGCCAGCGGCAAACTGCTCTAGTTTTGAGAACAAAAGAAAATTATGCAGTACCGCACAATCTGGGCTCCCTTTACAAGGCAGCAGGCCCGGCTGAAATACACAGGCATCAATAGATGTTGCCTGTCAGATTAGAGTAGCCACCAGACAGCCATTAATCATTAGGCATTCCCTTACCACCATTCATTCCATGTTACTTATGATTAGACTAGTGCATGTGTTTATGGTGTCTTGTGGGATACCACATCAGTAAAACGCACCCAACAAGGACCTTGTGGGGTCCTTACAAGACAGTTCAGGACAACAGGTTTATCATCAATGACAGGGAAGCACCCTTCGTTCCCTTTGTGCTCTGTCCTCTGGCAAAGCAAAACCCATCCACAACTACACACACACGTACAGAGGCTTGAACTGGCTGAGTGAAGCCCTCAAATGGCCATGTGCCACAACCAGGTCTTGTGGTAAGCATTACTCGGCGACAATGTCTTGTATTTTCAGAAAAGTGACGACTGGGTAAGAACTGTCGCACAAATCATGAACAAATGACCACCAACGATGTCTTCTTGCTGCGGCCTGCAGATGAGCGTAGCAACTATGGACTCACCAATAGATGTAATGATACTCATGAGTGGCGTAGAGTTCCAGCTCAAAGCCCGATAGGACGTAGCGTATCATGGTCCGCAGCGTGTGGTACATGACCCAGCTGCCAAAGCACGCTTGGTGGGGCCACTTGGGATCTGACTTGGTCATGAAGGAGAGAATGCCGGCGTCTACCTTCTCAGCCTGTGGGTGAACAAAAAAGCAAGGAGATGGGAAGGATTTAACCCATGATAGAGAAGGGTTTTTGGCCCTTGTCTCGGGGGTGGAGGGGCCTTGCGTCTTGGCCGTCCAGTGACAGACCGTATTGCAATTTGCATAGCCAGAGAGTGAAATTTTTCTCCATCTGTAAATACAAAAGAACGTATAGCGCCGCGAAGGGGCGTAAGATGGCGAACTTCACCGTGAATGCACGTAAAACGTTGTAATCGCATGGGCACCATTTGAGCAAGCGATACGCCTGCGCAATGCACATTAATGCATGGGTGCAGGCGCCGCGGCAGGCACATTCACCTGGTGTTCCTGCGCCAAAGCATTACCGTAAACTGCGCAGGCGTATCACTTGCTCAAATGGCGCCCATGGTAATTACATCTTTTGGGCAGAGTTATCCATCTTGCGCTTCGGCGCTATACGATCTTTGGTAAATACACAATTCAATGACCCAAAGCAATTTGGAGGTATCCTGATTTGGGTTGATGTCCATTTACACAGGCCAGTTCATACTCACATAGTACAAGACAACAGGATTTTGTAACATCAGATTGAATACTGGCGCTGCAAAAGTTGCAGAGGTTGAACACGTTTCAACTCGAGCAAATTTTGCTGCTAACATTTCATGTCATCAAATTTGCTTCCCGTTCACATCCATCTGAAGTACGGACTAGCCTTTCCTATGCTCTATTGCTCAAGCACAAGCACATACCTCATTACTCGGGACTGCATGTTACACTACATGATAATGGTTGGCCCAAATCTTATACAATTGTATCAATTCTTCAACAACTCATTTAAGGCTAAACTCAAAAGTGAAAAAAGAGATCTCCTGAGGATCAGCTGGTTAGAAGATTGATACACCACAAAACTACCCTTTCCCTGTCAACCTCAGTTTGGAGACGTTGAAGATTTGGTATATGCAGCATGAGCTAACAGACGCGGTCGGACAACACTGTGTGGGTTCAATGGGGTTCCATAGCAGGTAGGTCAATTCAAATGAACATACCTCATCCTGAAGATTAGCGAGCTCCTCTAAAACCTGGCCAAGTTTGTCGCGCTGTCTGGCTCGGTTGTGGCCCTGTATCTGAACTATGGTACACATGGGCTGTGAATGAGAAACAACAGCTTTGAATTGAAACTTTTCCTACGAAACACTCTCCTCCAAAGTATTCTCCTCACCTAAAAACAAAAATAAGACTGTGATCCTGGGCTTCAGATTTGAAATAAACCAAAAAATAATAGGATGATGTTCCACTGTGGCTCACTTTGAATGCACTTTTAGTTTGGTTGTGCCGGCTTGGCTGAGTGGGTTGTGGATTAAGTAGGGTTGTGTCGGGTCGGGTGGGCCCACCAATGGCAGAGCTTTGGGATTTTTGACTGAGCATGAAGCCTACCCTGACAGCATGCAGCAACAGTGAGTCCACCATCTCCTTGACCTGGGGGTTGTTGTAGATGGGTGACTTGGGGAGGAGCGCCAGGGGGTGGACGAAGGACCTGATACAATCCCGCAGGGAGTCCTGCACCAGCTCCACGCCAAACACCTTCTTGTTGTTGAAGGGAAGGAAGAGGAGGTGCAGGACCGAGCGGGACAGAACGCAGGGGCACTGCTTGCTAAATTCACCAATGAAATCCTGTCATGACAATCAAGAAACAGATTCAACCCTTAACCTTTGACCTCTATGTACTGGTACAAGTAACCTTTAGGTGCTGAATACTGATGATACTTACCATCTCAGTGTCATAAACACAATGTCAAAGTCAATTTCAAGAAAAGTCACTGAGCTGCAAATCCTTTTACGTACATTTAGCACCTTTGGCGAGGATGATCGTGGCTTGTACAATGTCTGGTGCTTTTCAGTCATTGAAACATTGAGACACTAAAAGTCATTAAATAGTTGTCAAATTAGTTCCATCCACCACTGAGAAAAAATTCCACCTTTTCTTCATTGGAACCAGACAGAAAAATGTTGTTCTCTCACACCAAAAACATGTTTTTCAAAACACCTTAGAAAAGCAACGTTGTAGCCTTCTTATATAAACCTTGTTAAGTTGAGCAAAGATGAGCCTTAATGGAATAAGATAAGTGAGCAGAATTGTTCATATCTGATTTGTTCAGTGCAAACTAACCCACCAAAAGGGACTGCATAAGCTACACCATAATTAGTTGCACAAGTCAGGGACTGAAGCAGTGCATAACTTTCATGAAATCTGTCATAATTTGTTGTTCAACTTACGCAATAAAACTTGGCTTAAGTAAAGTTACAGCACTGCACAAAGATTTGTGAAATCGGCCGCTGGCCCTTGTAGGGTTAACATCTACGTGTACTAGATATCCAAAAAGGCAGACAAGAATGGATCTGTGGCTCACCATGATAGCATGGAAGGAGTTCAGGTTGGTGACCTCACAGACCGTCCTCAGTCTCCCAACCAGGCCCTCGAAGTACGTGACAGCAGCAGGGCGGTCAATGATCTTGGAGTAGCGAGGGAAGGTAGGTGGTAGGAGTCTCTGGTTGACCAGCGGCTCAAAGCCCATGATCAGAGGGAAATCTGAACAGTTAGAAGGTG